TTCAGGCAGAGGAAATGCGACAACCCCCCGTGAGTGCCCCGCCCCGCCTCCCCGCACCCCCATCGCTCGCGGACCTGCGGGTCTCACTGCCCTGGACAGGGTTTGTCGCGCAAGGACGGGAATACACAAGGTCGGGGGCGGGACACGTGCCCGGGGGCCTCGTAGGCCCAGCTTTTTCTGGGGAACAGAGCCGCTGTTCCTCGCCCGCACCCCCATCCAAAGGCTTCCAGAGCCGGGCTGGCGTGGCCCAGGGGCTGAGCGTCCACCCAGGAACCAGGAGGTCAGGGTTCGATTCCCGGTCAGGGCACATGCCCGGGTTTCAAGCTCCATCCCCAGTAGGGGGCGTGCAGGAGGCAGCCGATCCATGATTCTCTCTCATCACTGATGTTTCTCTCCTTCTGCTTCCTCTCTCTCTCTCGAATCAATAACCCCCAGCCGGCGTGTCTCCCTGGATAAAGTGTTGGCCTGCAGACTGAAAGGCCGCAGGTTCGATTCTGGTCTAGGGCACAAACCTTGATTTCAGGCTCCATCCCCGGCCCCAACGGGGTGCACGCAGGAGGCAGCCAATCCGTGTGTCTCTCTCACATCGATGTCTCTCTCTGCCTCTCCCTCTTCCACTCTCTCTAAAAATCAGTGCAGAAAATGTCCTTAGGGTATTACAACCACAAAATCAATAGAAATAAAAGATTTTTTAAAAGGCTCCCAGGGACAGCGGGAGGACAGACGCTCTGGCCGGCGGGCCACTCGCGCTGCTCAGTGGAGGTCATTCTAGGGAAGCCATAGGCGGGAGGAGGCGGCTGCTGGCTGCTGTGGAAGCTGCCTGCCGGCCACGGTGTCGGGGGAGGCGCTGGGGTGGCTGCCGAGCTCACCTGCGTATCAGAAGCTGCCCTCCTGGAGCTGTTTGACTGGGAACCGTGGTTTTCAGGTCGTCTTTCTTTGGTCCATCTTCGCACGTCGGTTCGGAACGCGTGGGGCTAGGTGTGTGCTCAGTCACGCTGCCCTCGCCTCGTGGGTTTTGCTCTTCTCTCGAAACTCCCCCTTTTCACTGTTTCTTAAAAGGGCCCGTTTTCCGTCTCCTGGGCCCTCAGCTGCATCCCATTAATGTCGTAAAGGAGCGCGTTATGAATGATGACTCACCCGAAAGGCTTTTTTATCCACAATTAAGTCATGTTGATGAAGAATTAGCAAATCCCCCTTGTGTGCAAAACCCCGCGGCCCTGGCGGGGTCCCAGCCCCATAAATCACACGCTCCGGGGGGCCGGGGGCAGAGGCGCTGACTCTCTCGGGGTCGCTCCCCTGGCCGGTGTGGAGGCCCCGGTTACAGTGAAGTGTGTGCTCACAGTTCAGTCTATGCCAGGAACACCTTGTTCGTTCTGGTAGTGCTAAGGGAATCGGTGCTGCACATTTTGTCTTATTGAAACCCTTTCCCCTGGCCCCCGACAGTGCCGGACTCACAGGGGGTGTTCCGTGCTTTAGGAATGACTGTTTCATTAAGAGCATTGATGGTATATAAGGTTTCCCAGAGAAAGAGAACCAATAGGAGATAGAAAGATAGATAGATAGACAGATAAGTAGATAAGTAGATGATAGGTAGATAGATGATGGATAATAGATAGCTAGATGATAGATAGGTAGGTAGATAGATAGATAAGTAGATGATTGATAGATAGATAGATAGATAGATAACAGATAGATAGGTGACAGGAGATATATAAAATAGATGATAATTAGATAGATGATAGATAGAATATAGATAGATGATAGAATATAGATAGACTAGAGGCTTGTTGCACGAAAAGATTCATGCAATAGGCCTTCACTTCCCTTGGCTGCCGGCACCGGTTTTCCTCCAGCACCCGGGACTCAGGCCTTCGCTCTGGCCGGAGCTGCCTTCAAGCTTTCGCTGCCCTGGCTGGAGCCGCCTTCAGTCTTTGATCCACCACTTTGCGCCTACGTATGCAAATTAACCATCTTTGTTGGCGGTTAATTTGCATATCTCACTGGTAGCGAAGGTATGGTCAATTACCATGTTTGTCTATTATTAGATAGGATGATAGGTAGATGATAGATAATAGAGACATGATAGATATATGATAGATGGATAGATAAATAGAAGCTAGATAGATGATAGATAGCAGATAACAGATAGGTGGTAGAGGATAGATAATAGATGATAGATAGGTAGATAGATGGTAGATAATAGATGGATGATAGAGCCACCCCTGTTTGGGCACCACTCAGTACAGCCCTCCATCATCTGTGCTGCGCCCCCCCCAACCCCCACCACCTGGCTGCCCGCTCGCTCAGAGTCAGCGACCCAGTGCATTTGCAGTGCCCCCCAGGCACACACCTCGTGTTGTTTCCCTGAAACACTGAGCTTATTGCAAAGGATTGTGCCAAAGCGGTGGGTCAGGCGGGCCTTGGACCATCTGCTTCACTGAGGCCCCCCAACCGCTATGGGCAGCCAGGGAGCGGGGCCAGTCCCCCTGCACACGAGGGCCGTCTTCACCGGTGCCCGCCCTGTGCCCGCAAGACTGTCACCCACGGATAGGGTGCTCCATGCCCTCTTGGGACCAGCTCTAAGCTCTGACCTAGCCTGGTTTATTCCGAGGGAGCCCAGCAATCTGGTTTTGCTCCGGTAATATTTACACCTTGGTGCTCTGTCCGATCTTCCTGCCCGGCCGGCATGGCTCCGTGGTTGAGCGTCGACCTATGAGCCAGGAGGTCTGGGTTTGACTCCCAGTCAGGGCACATGCCCAGGTTGTGGGCTCCATCCCCAGTGTGGGGCATGCGGGAGGCAGCCGATCCATGATTCTCTCTCATCACTGATGTTTCTCTCTCTCTCCCCCCCTTCCTCTCTGAAATCAACACAAATATGTATATATTTTAAAAACACCAGACTTCCTGTCCTAAGGAGCAGTGGCAGGCCCTTGTCCTCGCCGTCAGGGATCCTCCGCAGGTGAATGGGAAGTGAAGGGGCCGGCCTGGGGGCTGTTCCAGCCGCCGCCGGGGCGCCTCCCTCTGGGGAGCTGTATGAGGCCCAGGCCTCCGCGTCAGCCGCTTTTGCAGAAGGGCCTGATGTGGTGATTGTTACAAAACACAGCTGATGGGGCCCAGCGCCAAGCGCTGACCCAACAGCATTCCCTCCCGCTCAGCCCTCAGCACACCAGGCTGGCGGCCCTGCGATTTCCCAGGATGTGCAAACCTCCCTGCTCTGCGCATCCCGGCCTGGCCTCAGAGACTTTCCACCCCCCCATCCCCTCACCCCCTTCCCTTCAGTCCTGGCCCCTTTCCTGTCTCCTACAGCTGGTTTATTCACTGTCCAAACACACTGGCAAGAGAGTCCCTCCCTTCGCCCGCTTTTCTCTCTCTCTGGCCTTGGTCTTTCCAGCTATTGGAATTTGCGCTTCTTGCCAGCTGACCTCCAGGCCTTGGGGGTCAGCCATGTCTTGGCTGCAGCCTCCTGGGCTCATGTTTCCCTGCCCTGATTTGTGTCCCTTTTGGTGGGAGTTTCCGCCAAAAGCCTGGTAGGAAGGTCACCTCTCATTCGGATGCCGGTGCCCCCTGCATCGCAGGGCCGGTGTTTGGGGAGGAGGGATGCAACGGCTCGGACGCTCTTGGGTGAAGTGCCAGCTCTGTCGGAGCCCAAGGAGGAAGGGCCGTGGAGCCAGGAAGGCGGCAGGTCACCGGGGTGGGGTCCCCCGGGAGCATCAGGAGGGGAAGCAGCCTGCTTGCTAAGGCCCCTGGAGGGCGGGGGTGACGCCATGCACCTGTCACGGCTTTTGTTCCCACAGGGAAACCCCGGATGTGCCCTTTCCACTCGCCAGCCACCTGGTGTCCACATGGATGGTTTTTATTTTTTAAATTTATTTTTATAGAGGTCAGAGAGGAAAGGAGAGGGCGAGAGAGAGAAACATCCATGATGAGAGAATCATGGATTGGCTGCCTCCTGCACGCTCCCTACTGGGGATCGAGCCCACAACCCAGGCATGTGCCCTGACCGGGAATCGAACCCTGACCTCCTGGTTCGCAGGTCGATGCTCAACCACTGAGCCACGCCGGCCGGGCCTGATGGCTACGTTTTAAGTGCAGGTGAAAGGCACAGTGAGTGGATCTTGCTAACCCATACTCACCACATTGCGTGTCCAGATGACCTTGCAGCCTCGGGATGCGTTTCCCTGAGGGCTCACTCACACTCGCAGTCCATGTGGGGCTGGGGCTGCCGAGATGGGAGGTGTGTGAGCAGAGGGGGTGCTGGGAGGCCTCGCCCGGCCCCTCCCACTCCTGGGAAGGAGGCAGACACGGAGCACCCGCTGGGTCTGGCTAACTCGGGGGGCCGGTCTCTCCCCTCCAGCCCCGGGCCCGGAGGCGCGCACTGCCTGGGCGCCAGCGTGGAGCACGCGGTCTGCGAGAACCCGCCCTGCCCCAAGGGCCTGCCCAGCTTCCGGGACCAGCAGTGCCAGACCCATGACCGGCTGAGCAGCAAGAAGAAGGGCCTGCTGACGGCGGTGGTGGTGGACGGTGAGGAACATGGCGCGTCCTTTCCCTCCGTCCCTTCCCCAGGAACCTCACGCCTCCCGGGGAAACCCAGAGGGCGCACCCACCCGCAGTCCTCCCCGAAGGGTGCCCCAGTCCTCCTGCCCAGTCAGCCTGGGAGGGACCCACGGCGTGAGCCTGGGGTTGGCCTTGGACGACATAGCTCTGTGCCATTTCCCAAGAGCAGCTGCAAGGCAGGCAGCAGCCCAGAGGCCTCCCGCACCGGCATTTGCAGCAAGCGGGTGTGGGGGTGGGGGTCGGGGGAGGGGTACCGGCAGCCTGCTGCCTGCTTCCGGGGCCCAGGGCCAACCGTGTGGAGAGGGAGGCTGTTGGGGGCCGGGACAGTGGGCGTCTGCTGCTCCCTTTCCAGTGTTGGCTCTGCCTTGCAATTTCCTGGGTCATTTTGGGTTGGTTTTTACTCTTTTTGTAAGTTTTTTATTTTTATTGATTTCAGAGAGGAAGGGAGCAGGAGAGAGAGAGAAAAACATCCATGATGAGAGAGAATCATGGGTCGGCTGCCTCCTGCACGCCCCCTCCTGGGGATTGAGCCTGCAACCCGGGCGTGGAATCGAACCCTGGACCCTTCAGTCCACAGGCCGACGCTCAACCCACTGAGCCAGACCAGCCAGGGCCAACCCCGTGGAGCCTTTGTACCTCGGCTTCCCCTGCAGTCAAGGGGGAGGGGAGCCCGCCTTCCCAGGAGGGTGTGGGCAGCTGCCCGCACAGACTCTCACCGCCCTCGGCCCGGCCGTGCCTGGGACGCAGGAGGCTCCCCGCAGCCCCGGGTGCACTGGATCCCTAGTCGGGAGGGAGGCCGGGCTCGCAAACCTCCAGCCAGGCCCACAGGTCGGCCAGGACTCCGAGGCCGGGGCCGGGCCTCTCCCCTCCCTGGGAGCAAGAGGAGGTCACGTCCAAGGGACTCGCCCCGCCCTCCGCTCCACTCCGCTATGTGCACGGGGTCTGTGTTTTCCTCTCCTTCGCCTCTTGCTTTGGTTTGCAGTTCTCCGGCCTCGTTTCTGCAAACGCAGAAATCCCACTGAAATGTCTGTTTTTCCACCCATTTCTCCAAGTCCCTGTTACACTCCCTCTTCACTTCTAACCGCTGCTGGAGGGCTGGCCTCCTCGGCTGCCTTCGCGTTGTCGCAGGGGCTGGGAGCCACCTCTGCCCACACCCCTCCGGGGGCCTCGCAGGGGCTCCTCGGGGAAGCTCATTGCCTTCGGACGGTCCCACCCACTCACTTTATGGTGTTTTTTCTCCCAAAGCAAGAAGTGATGAGCGCCTCCGCCTTTGACCTGAAAGGGGCCACCGTATTTATTGATTTTAATATATTTGTATTGATTTCAGAGAGGAAGGGAGAGAGAGAGAAACATCAATGATGGGAGAGAATCATGGATGGGCTGCCTCCTGCACGCCCCCTACTGGAGATGGAGCCCGCAACGCGGGCATGTGCCCTGACGGGGATTCGAACCGTGACCTCCTGGTCCCTAGGTCAACACTCAACCACTGAGCCATGCTGGCCGGGCGCTAAAAAGGCCACCGTCTTGGATGAGGAAGCGGGGTACAGTCAGCATTTCGCCTTGGACGGAGAGACCTGGAGCCCAGGGCTTTGCGGGGGCCACCTCCCTGTGGGGGGGACTCTCAATGGCCGACCCAGAGCAGGGAGGGAGGGCAGAGTGTCAGCGTCCCTCTCCAAAGCCGCTTTCCGCAGGGCCCGGCCCCGGCTCGGCTCCTCGGAGCCCGTCCCGACCGCCCTATTCATAGCTCTGCTATCGCGGCGGAATTCTTTGGCCGGTGACGCACAGTTCAGGGAGGGAGAAGCTATATATTTTTTCTATTTTCTCTTCTTGAGCAAAGGAAAAAGAAAAAGGAAAACAAGGAAATTCTTGCAGAGGTAGATTTTCCAAGGGAGGACTCGGGACCACAAGCCCTTCCCGCCTCCCGCAGGAGACAAAGACGCTCCTTAGAAATGGCTTCTCCGTGGAAAAGCCTTCAGACAGAACCGTGGACGTGGCCCGGGGCCCAGCCCACCTCGTCTCTGCCTTCCCCGCGGAATCTCATCGCAGCGCAGACCTTGCAGAGTTCAGGCCGCCCGGCCGGGCCAGCAGGCCATGCGCCCGCCGAGGCGTCGGAGGACTTGGCCAAGGCTGGAGGCACATTCCAGCTCCGTCTCCCCGGCACGGCGGAACCCCTCCGGGCCGGAGCCCCCCCAGGGGACCGGGCGGGTGTGATGGTGTGGGCTCTGTCACTCCAGCTCAGTGAAGCCAGCTGGAGCTGCTTATTAACAAAACAGAGGGAAGTTGCCTGCCCGGCCGGTGTTGCTCAGTGGTTGAGCAGCGACCTATGAACCAGGAGGTCACGGTTCGATTCCCAGTCATGGCATCTGCCCGAGTTGCGGGCTCGATCCCCAGGAGGGGGCGTGCACTGCCCGGGCTGCGGGCTCGATCCCCAGGAGGGGGCGTGCAGGAGGCAGCCGGTCCATGATTCTCTCTTATCATTGATGTTTCTCTCTCTCTCCCTCTCCCTTCCTCTCTCTGGAATTAATAAAAATTAAAAAAAAATTTTTTTAATTCACTGTTTTCAAACTGCTTTAGCCAAAGGACTCTTCCTTATACCTTTAGGACACTCCCCTCTAGCCTCCTAAGACAAGCCTTCCCACCGAGGGCGTGGATCAGGGTGCCACGGGACACCAGCCACGGAAAGCAGCTGAGCACAGTGGCCGTTCAGTGACCGTCACTCATTCACGAAAGCCTGGGCACTGGTGCAAGCGTGTCTGCTGAGGCAGGAACCCTCCAGCTCAGTGTCCAGTCCTCTGTGGCCCCGTCAGCCCCACCCTCGCTCCCAGGCCCCCGGGAGGCCCCCTAGGAAGACTCTGGTGGAGAGAGCACGCAGGCATCCATGTTCCTCTCGCGGTCTCTTTGCAAAGCAATCCCCCGCGCCCTGCATGGCCCTCCTCACGCCGACGTTCACCCCTTCCCTCCCCAGATAAGCCGTGTGAGCTGTACTGCTCGCCCCTGGGGAAGGAGTCCCCGCTGCTGGTGGCCGACAGGGTCCTGGACGGCACGCCCTGTGGGCCCTACGAGACCGACCTCTGCGTGCACGGCAGGTGCCAGGTGACGTGTGCTCTGTGTGTCCTCGGCGGGGCGGCTCGCCCTCCTCAGAGGGGCTCGGTGTGGGCGGGAGCCCAGGGAGACCTGGGGGAGTGGGTTTTTTTTTTTTAATATATTTTTATTGCCCTGACCAGTGTGGCGCAGTGGATAGAACGTCAGGCTGCAGACCGAAGGGTCCCAGGTTCGATTCCAGTCAAGGGCACGTACCTCGGTTGCAGGTTCCTCCCCAGCCCTGGCCCTGGTCAAGGAGTGTGCAGCAGGCAACCAATCAATGTGTCCCTCTCACATCAATATTTCTCTCTGTCTTACTCTCTCTTCCACTCTCTCTAAAATCACTGGGAAAATATCCTCTGGTGAGGATTAAAAATATATATTTTCTTGATTTTAGAGAGAGTGGAAGAGAGAGGGAGAGAGACAGAAAGATTAATGAGAGAGAAACATCGATTGATGGATCGGCCGCCTCCTGCATGCCCCACACTGGGGATGGAGCCCGCCACCCAGGTGTGTGCCCTGACCAGGAATCCAACCGTGACCTCCTGGTTCATGGGTCGACCGCTCTGCTCAACCACCGAGCCACACCGCCCGGGCAGAGGAATGGGTTTTCTTAAGAAGGTGCCAGGGTGCTGCCTCCCACCTGCAGGCTGGTACCCGCCCTGCAGGATCACCTGGCTACCACCTAGGAGTTGAGGTGGCTGAAAGAGTAGGGGTCTCATAGTGTTTAAATGTTCAAAACTGTTTGAATAACCTGAAACGTGATGACAAAGGGAAGAGCAGGTGCGATGCCGAGGCGAGGGTGGGCGGCGTAGGTGAGCGTATGTTTTTGGACAAGCTCTGCTCTGGTTTGAGACAAAAGATACAGAACGAAGCTGGTGCCTTTGCAAGTGGCACCCCAGGGGTACCAATGCCTGGCTTTTGGGGACTTGCCCCACCCACTGGGATATAGTCCCCAAACCCATCCTGATGTTGCATGTCTGTGACTCACTGGAACAGTGATAAATGCCACGGAAGGAGACAAAGAAAGAGAAAGGAGGGAGGGCCCGGCCCGCGGGGCTCAGCGCGTGAGCACGGCACTCACCCGAGTGGAAGCCCCCCACGCGACACCCCCGCCCTCACGTCTAGCTCCCCGGGTTGGTCTTCCCGCGTGCCTCCTTCTCAAATGCGAGCGGTCAACCAGCGATGACCTGCTGTTTGAAGAAAAGCAGCAGCCGGCCCGAGAAAGACCAAGAAAAACACACAGGAAAACGCACCCTGGCAGGAGAAGGGGAGATAATTATAGACTCCTGCAGGATTCTAGAATTCTGCTGCCAAGCCGGCAACCAAGCATGGGAGCAAAATAAAGGAACGTTGAGATACGGGAGAACTCAGAAATGTTCTTTTCCAGGCGCCCGTTCTCGGAGAGATGGCGCGGCCTTTAACCAAACAAGGGGAAAGTCGAGAAGGGGAAGACGAGCCCAGCCAGCCGGGCTCAGTGGCTGAGCGTCAACCTATGAACCAGGAGGTCACGGTTCGATTCCTGGTCAGGGCACAGGTCCAGATTGCAGGCTCGATCCCTTGTAGGGGGCGTGCAGGAGGCAACTGATCCATATTCTCTCTCATCGTTGATGTTTCTCTCTCTCTCTCTCTTTCTCTCTCTCTCTCTCTCCCTCTCTTTTCCTCTCTGAAATCAATAAAAATATACATTAAAAAAGTAGGCGAGGGCTGTGAATTGTTAGAACTAACCGGGAGCCCAGAAAATGCCGGCCGAGGGCTGGTGCTGCCGGCCTGAAAGTCTTCAGTCCAAATGAAAATGAGGAGTCGGTGGCGTCCCTCTGATGGGAGAGAGAACGCGGCTGTCATTGCAAGACGGCCGTTACGTTACAGAAAGCACGTGCTCTCCCTCCCAGCCAGAAAAATGAAACCCACTGAGCCCCCGCCGGCTGGGCTGGGAGCACTGCTGCCTTCCTGGGCCTCCTTCTCTCTGTCAGACACGAAAGATTATGTTCGGCCGTGAGGTGGGTGTCCTGCCGAACATAACGCAAGCTGGATCCCATTCATTCTTTGATCTTCTGGTCTTAAACTAAATTAGCCTATTTGCTCGGGCCTCTGAAAGTATGGGGGTCCCAGCATCACGTGGCAGACCTTTGTGAGACGGGAGCCCAGGCTAACCCAGCTCTCTGGTCTTCTAGAAGATCGGCTGCGACGGCATCATCGGGTCAGCGGCCAAAGAGGACCGGTGCGGGGTGTGCAGCGGGGACGGCAAGACCTGCCGCGTGGTCAAGGGCGACTTCAGCCACTCCCGGGGGACAGGTGAGCGCGGGGTGCAAGCCTGTGCGTTAGGGACGTCTTACTTCCCTGACCCCCAAGCCAGCGATCGCGTGCACTCCCTGCGTTTCGTATGGAAGGGCTGGTGGGTCATCGAGAGGGTGACTGGGACTCAGTGTCACAGCTTCTGCAAGGCAGAGAAAGGCGTCTTATCCACAGTGACGCAGGCGTCCATCTGTCAGGCAGGCGGCTTGTGTGCGAATCCGTGCTGCCCCCCGGCTCCTGAGGGGACTGAGCGAGGCCGGGGGGCTCCGTCCAGTCTCGTAGCCACCGGCCACTGAGCCGCTTCAGATGTTTTTGTTGTTGTGAATCCTCGGGACCCAAGGGTATTTTTTCCATTGATTTTTTTCCCCAAAAATATGTTTTTATTGATTTCAGAGAGAGGAAAGGAGAGGGAGAGGGAGAGAAACATCAGTGGGACAGAGAATCCTGGATCGGCTGCCTCCTGCACGCCCCCTACTGGGGATCGAGCCCGCAGCCCGGGCCTGTGCGCTGACCAGGAATTGAACCATGACCTCCTGGTTCATAGGTCGATGCTCCACCACCGAGCCACGGTCGCCCGTGAGCCTTTCATCCAGTGCACATTGATTCAGCATGACGACAATGTTAGAGGCAGGAGGTGTGCAGAAGGAAAATGCAGCTGTCGCCGAGTCCAAGGAGGGGACCCCCAGCCAACAGCCTGAGTGCATGTATGAGGGGGAGGCAGCTCAGCGGGGGTGCTGCAGGGCGCCTCCCTCAGGGCTGCGGGCAGATGAGGGCACCCCTACGCCCTAAAGAACAAGGAGAGGTGGTCCAGGCAGCGTGCCTCAGTGGTTGAGCGTCGACCTATGAACCAGGAGGTCACGGTTCAATTTCCAGTCAGGGCACATGCCCAGGTTGCAGGCTTGATCCCCACTAGGGGGCGTGCAGGAGGCAGCCGATCCATGATTCTCTCTCATTGTTGATGCTTCTGTCTCTCTCTCCCTCTCCTTTCCTCTCTGAAATCAATAAAAAAAAAATTTTTTTTTAATAAAAGGCCAATTAGAGATTAGCTGTCCGTGGGGGTGGGGCAGGGCATTTCAGGTTGAAGGAGGAACCCAACTTCGAAATAGTATGATTCCCCCAGGTCATGTGACATCTCCGTGGCGCCAAGTGTGGCTGACGGGCCGGCCGATTCTGTCAGCTCAGATAGGGAGGCACCTTTCATCTCTGCCCAGCGCCCAGGAGGAATGTCTTATCACCCTCGAGGGTGACTATCACAGAGAAATACCATCCCGGAGATGAAAAGCGATCGGACGCAGGCTTTCTGCCCGGTTCTGAGAAATCCTGACCCTTGTCTGACCTCCTCTGGGTCCACTTACCTTCAATACTGAAGCTGGGAATTCTGAGCAGCCCCCACGGGGACAGCGTCCATGTCCTCCGGGATGCCTTCCTCCCGTGTCCTGTGGGGCTGCGTGGAGGTAGTATGACCCTCTGGCCTGTCGCCTCCCAGCCTTGAACTGATCCAGGCCCCGGGCAACTCATCTGTGAAGGAATCGCCTCGAATTGGCCATCACACTGCTTTCCTCCGGGGTGGGCTCAGCCTTCAGTGGAGTTAACACAGCGAAGTGGTTTGAATGGGGTGTTTTGAAAGCTCTTAGTACGAGGCTTTCACTTCATTCAGTAAATCGCCATTTTAATGTTATGGCCTTTAGTCCACGTGGGCCTTAGCGCCCGCAACTGGTGTCCACGGGAACCCCCCACGGTGACCTGTGAGCTCTGCACCCCTTTGCGTTTTGTTCTGAAAGAGAAACCTTCTTAAACAGTCTATTCTGTTTTTAAAAATATAACAAAGACCTTGTGTGAACTAATTGCATCTTCAGTGACGCGAATCCAAATCAGGTCGCATTCTGAGTCCCGGGGGTTAGGACTTTAACCAATGAATTGGGAGGTGGGGGGCGGGATACGGTTCAACCCATCCCTCGTGCAAATAAGTCAGTGCTGCTCTCTGGAATTCGGCAGCCCAGGGGCTGTGGCCATAGAAGAACGCTCTGTGATTGACACTTGCCATAGCTGTACCTCCCACCAGCTCTGAAATCTCTATGGGGGACGGGGGAGAGGGGACTTCAGTGGGAGATGGAGCAGGAGTGGTTCACCCATGTTATCCGTCACCACAGGCTATATCGAAGCTGCTGTCATTCCTGCCGGAGCTCGGAGGATCCGCGTGGTGGAGGACAAACCCGCCCACAGTTTCCTAGGTAACGCCAAAACAATGACCTGACTCGCGATGTCTGTTCTGAGGATGGAGGCGGAGGACGGGGCGGGCCCGTCATCGGGTCAGCAGCATTCTCCCAGGACATCGGTGTCAAACTCATACCTTAGGTGTCGTGATAGGAGGACTCATGGTTCAGGCTGCCGGGACTTCCCAGCGCCATCGCTCAGCAGACGCCAGCCCCGGTAGCGAGCAACATTGGGGCCATTATCTCTGCTCTTCCCTGGAAATGTGAAAAGGGCAGCAGGGTGTCAGGGTCCATGAGATCGCTCAGCTTCTAATTCCCACATGGAATGGACTTTCAAAAATACATACTTTTATTGATGTCAGAGAGGAAGGGAGAGGGAGAGGGAGAGAGAGACATCAGTGATGACAGAGAATCATGGATCTGCTGCCTCCTGCACACCCCACACGGGATTGAGCCTGCACCCTGGGTATGTGCCCAGACCGGGAATCAAACCGTGACCTCCTGGTTCATAGGACGATGCTCAACCACTGAGCCACACCAGCCGGGCCTGCCTTGGTCCCCTCACCTCTCCTGCCAATCAGACAGCGGGATTGAGCCTGCACCCTGGGTATGTGCCCAGACCGGGAATCAAACCGTGACCTCCTGGTTCATAGGTCGATGCTCAACCACTGAGCCACACCAGCCGGGCCTGCCTTGGTCCCCTCATCTCCTCTGCCAATCAGAACCCCAGGATTCCAGGGCCTGGGGTATGCACGAGGGCAAGCCCGGAGGTGGTCCACGCTCATGACGTTTCTAAAGTTTAGTGCAACCCAGCCATGTTGGCACCGGGGCTGGGCGCTCTGGAAGTCAAGCCGGTGGAGCCCTGAGCTCCCCTCGCATTTGCTGGGAGCGATTCCCGAGGAATTCCGCCCCACCTACCTCCAGCCCACGCCGCCTGGCTCGTGGCTCGAAACCACCTGGAACAGGAAATGCCTCTGCAGTTCGCATCCACGGCCCAGAACAGCCCTGGCGGGCCTCCGGGTGGAAATAAAAGGCGCTGACGCGGCGCCAGGATTAGAAGTGGGTTGACTGCGGGTCAAGTCTTCCCAGTGCAACCCAGGGCGGGAGAGATGCGAGGAGCCCGCTCCTGCACAGCCCCAAGGGTGGGGGTGGTGTGGCCTGGGGACAGGGTCAGACCCCCACATGGGCCTGCAGCCAGCGCTAACCAGGAGCCTGCCCTCCCGGCCAGGGATGCCCGTCCACACTGCCCAGCAGGGCTCACGATCTTTCCCTCCATGCCCGGTGTCCACGGACAACATGTAAATATCTGCACGGAGAAAGGAGGGCCTGGTTTGGAAACAGACATGCATCACGTGACCTCAGGTTCTCGGCCCTGGAGGAGGTTTTGTCTGCCCTGCCAGGGCGGTGCGGAGAGCAGGGACCCACCCTCCCTTCTGTGGGAAGTTCCTCTCATCGTTAAGAGGCTCCTAATGGCTCCTCAGCAAAATACACAAAGGCCCTGCTGTGTTTCAGCGATTTAAAACGTCGGACCTGCCCTGGCTGGTTTGCTCAGTGGATAGAGCGTAGGCCTGGGGACTGAAGGGTCCCAGATTCGATTCCGGTCAGGGCACATGCCCGGGTTACAGACTCAATCCCCAGTAAGGGGCGTGCAGGAGGCAGCCAATCCATGATTCTCATCATTGATGTTTCAGTCTCTCCCTCTTCCTTCCTCTCTGAAATCAATAAAAACATATTTAAAAAATAAATACAAATAAAACATCTGACCTCTGACCCCGGCAGAGCCTGAAAATGAAATTGTTCTTCCCAGCTAATCAGAGCCCAGACATCCATCACAGACAGAACCAGGTCCCTCCAGAATTCCCTGTGTTCTTTTTTTTCCTTTTAATGTTTTTATTGATTTTTTTCATTTTGGGGATTTTTGGGGGATCTATACCCAGGAGAGGGAAGGTTGGTTCATTGGGTTGCTCTGTACAGATGTTCTGCATGGCCTCTGCTCCATGCTGTCCCGTTCTCTTGCCAGCCCTCAAAGACTCCAGTCGGAGGTCCATCAACAGCGACTGGAAGATCGAGCTCCCCGGAGAGTTCCAGATCGCCGGCACCACGGTCCGCTACGTCCGCAGGGGCCTGTGGGAGAAAATTTCTGCCAAGGGACCGACCAAAATTCCCCTGCACTTGATGGTGAGGCTCGGAGAGGACCCCCGTCTACTTCTTCCTGGGGGTGTGGGAGGCGGGCAGGTGCACCGGTTCCTGGTGGCTTATCTGGCCACCTGCAGCTCAAGGCTCGCTCTTGATCTTCTCTTTTTAAATATATTTTTATTGATTTCAGAAAGGAAGGGAGACAGAGAAAGAGAGAGAGAGAGAGAGAGAAACATCAGTGAGGAGAGAGAATCAGGGATTAGCTACCTCCTGCACACCCTCTTTTGGGGATCAAGCCCACAACCCGGGCCTGTGCCCTGACCGGGAATCAAACCGTGGCCTCCTGGTTCATAGGTCGACGCTCAACCACTGAGCCACACCGGCCGGCCTCCATCTTTTCTTATCTCATCCCTTTGGGCATGCTTCGGATTTCCCCCCTCTCAGAACGTCGCCCCGGCTCCTCGCTGGCAGGGCTCCCACCTCTTCTTAAAGGGAACTGCCTCCAGGAAGGAGCCGTGCAGCCCTGGGGCCGCCAGGGAGACTTGGCCCGTTCAGCAGCCGGCCCGCGCGAAGTCTGTGTTTTCACATCAGACGGCCCCGGCCCGCCCCTCGGTGTGTGTGTCCACACTGGAAATTACCTTTTGGAAAGGAGCTGTTGACTCCGCTTCCTTCCAAACCAACAGTGCTCAGATTTTCCAAGCTCGCCTTGCAACAGGCATCCGGGAACTGGGGGTGGGGGAGGCCCAGGTTCTACGGGAATGTAGACTCCCCGGGTGGTCTCAGACACCTGTGGGGTCCTGTCTTCCCTGTCCGGGAGGACTCCACCCAACCCAGGGACCACCTGCTGATGCATCCTTTTTACTTTGGTTAATCCTCACCTGCGGATTTTTTCCATTGATTTTTTTAGGGAGAGTAGAGGGAGGCCTGGGGGGAGAGAGAAACATCGATGTGAGAGAGACACTTTGATTGGTTCCTTCCCACACATGCCCCAACCAGGGCTGGGCATGGAGCCTGCAACTGAGATCCATGCCCTTGACCGGAACCAAACCCGCAACCCTTCAGTCTGTGCCTGACGCTCTGCCCACTGAGCCAAACCGGCTAGGCTGATGCATCCTTTTTAAGAATATCAAAGCACTGCAGGGACAGCTCTGCCTGTGAGCCCTGAATGCAACAAAAATGTATAAAGTAAAATAAAACAAAATAAACGCAGCCCTGGCCGGTTTGGTCAGTGGTTAGAGCATCCACCTGCAGGCAAATGGTCGCGGGTTCGATTCCTGGTCAAGGGCACATACCTGAATTCCAAACCCGCAACCCTTCAGTCTGTGCCTGACGCTCTGCCCACTGAGCCAAACCAGCTAGGCTCATGCATCCTTTTTAGGAATATCAAAGCACTGCAGGGACGGCTCTGCCTGTGAGCCCTGAATGCAACCAAAATGTATAAAATAAAATAAAACAAAATAAACGCAGCCCTGGCTGGTTTGGTCAGTGGTTAGAGCATCCACCTGCAGGCAAATGGTCGCGGGTTCGATTCCTGGTCAAGGGCACATACCTGAATTGCAGGTTTCCTAGCCCTGGTAGGGGCATGTGCAGGAGGCAACCAATCGATGTGTCTCTCTCAGGTCGATGTTTCTCTCTCTCTTTCTCTACCTCTCCCTTCCACTCTCTCTAGAAATCAATGGGAAAAATATTCTCGGGTGAGCATTAAAAGTAATGATGATCATAATTAAATAAAAGCGGTTACGCAGAGGGCCTGCAAGAGGAAGCCAAGGACACCCTCAGGTCACCCGGCCGCCCTTGCATTTGCTCCCTGTAGCAGGCGCCAGGATGGGTTTATTTCCCGTCTCTTCTCAAAGCTTTCATGGCCCGAGCGCATCGCCAGCCCGTTCAGGCCGAGGCACAGCCGGGATCCATTCCGACCACGAGAAACAAAACGAGAGAGAGAGAGAGAGAGAGAGAGAGAGAGAGAGAAAGAGAGAGGGAGAGGGAGGGAGAGAAAGGAAGCAAAGCTGTGATTCTGTCCTTCTTCCCGAAGAGAAAGAGAGCCGCAGCCGCCACAGCCCCGGGCCCAGCCCTCGTTAATGTGAATCGCTTCTCTCTCGCGAACCATGACGGTTACTTCCAGTTTGCAAATCTAGAAACAAGAGGGGCCCCTCTGGCTGTCCATAGAAGCCACTGTCCCCCAAACCAGGATGCACGCACTGGGGAGCCACGGGGACCTGCCCACAAAGTATACGTGGCTGCGAAATTGCACGAAATTGGTTTCAGATGGATCCCCCATTCACCAGCCTTATATTCCCAGACTGAGATAATAAAGATCTCTTTTAAAGAGGTTTTTTTTTCTTTTTACTTTCTTTTCCACCCTAGGCAGGTTTCCAAATGCGTTCCTT